CCGAGTTCGAGCGGCTCAAGAAGGAGTATGAGATCTTCCGGGTCAGCAAGAACCAGGAGTTGCTGTCCATGGGTCGCCGAGAGGCCAAGCTGGACACCGAGAACAAGCGGCTGCGGGCGGAGCTGCAGGTAACGCGGGACAGAGCTCATCGTGAGCGGGAAGCGCTGGGGAAACTGAGACCCCAGTGTGTCGCTCAGCCGCTTGGTGGCACCACCATCCTGCCCCGGCTGCATAACCAAGTTGTTTTCCAAGTTGGACAGAAGCTGCTCCTCGTTTACAGGGATCATTATTTGAGTCTAAACTAATTTTCTTATCTGCAGCTCTCCCCCTTTCAGTTTCCGGTCCATTCATTTAGACACCTTGAATCAATCAACCCAAGTCCTGAAGCCACAAATGCCACACTGTGGTGAAACTTCTCACAACTCCTCCCAGTTTAACATATCTCCAAGATGGAGCTCTTGGCTCCGTTTCTTTTTGACGTCCTGCAGATCTGGGTTTTAATGATATGATAGGAATTTTTCTGGAAACCTCCTGATTTCACCGTCTTTAACTGCTGTGGCTGAAACTTTCCTTGAGAGTACTCAAATTCCCTTAGTCCACTTGGTTAAAGGACTCAAAGTTATTTTAGTGCTTTTGTAGGCCTTCGAAAAGAAAGGCTTTAATTCATTCAGATAGCAAAATTTCTCAGAGCAAAAAGTCTGTACTTGATGCCATGGGCTCAGAACCTCTCTGTTGGTCATTTGTTTATTCCTTTCTTTTCTGTGGGAGAGATCTCTGACAGCCCAAGAGCTCCAGGGCCTATCGAAGTAGGAGTTAAATAAACAGCACAGACTTATTTATATAAAAGAAGGCTCCTTCCTTCTAGTCAGGCATCATTTCCATCAGGTTTTATGAAGCCCTTCATCATCTGGTATGCCATTAGCGTATTATCTGGGAAGATGTTCCTACAAGCAGCTCCTGCTGCCCTCACTTTCTACTGGCTGCCAGTGCACTTGCTGGTATAAAGTGGACCTGTCTCATTTCCCATCTGAGTTCATGTGTGTGCACCACTGCCCACTGAGAACCATCTGAGATGGCAGGTAGAAAGGGGCAGAGTAGAAAAACCAGTGCTGAAAATGGAGGTTTCTGGTCCTTCTGGTCCCGCAGCCGATTGAGTATCCCCAAAGAAACACACACACACACACACACACACACACACACACACACACTATATTAATTCTAAAACTGTTGGCCAGTGACTAGTGCTTCCTTCTGGCTATCTCTCTCTTAATTATTATCCCATAACTACTAATCTATGTATTTCTACATGGCCTTATCTTACCAGAGAACATCTGGCGCATCCTATCTTCCTGGTCTCTATGTGGCGTCTCTCTGGAGGCTTCACTCTGTCTTCCTCTCCCCAGCCTTCTCCTGGTCTGGTCTACCCACCTGGCTATTGGCCAATCAGTGTTTTATTCATCAACCAATAAGAGAAACATATACACAGAAGGACATCCCCCATCACAGTGCAGACAGGGCTGACAGGCACATAGTCACAGATCACTGGTCAGCAATCCCAATTCTTTGTATAACCTGTTGTTCTTTTCTTAGCTGCATAATCTTGAGAAAACTCTCCCACACTTATTTCATTCAGCCATGTTGGCATTTACTGGAGGTCCACCATGGATCCAGACCGAATGGCTCAGGGGATAGTAAAATGATTAATATACAATGACAAGGAGCATGGACACTTTCATGGTTAATTGTTCTTCAAGCTAAGCCTTACAAATTGCATTTCTTATTCTCTTAGAAAACCTGAAGCATAGAAAAATTTGGGAGCTGGTGCAGAATTTCAAAGGAAAATTGTTAATTTCCATTGAAAGCTTATTGCTGAGGGAACTAGAAGAACGAGAAGGGGAGGAGAGGAGAAGGGAGGAGGACATGAGAAAGCAGGAAGATATAGTCAGGGGAAGAATAGAGGAGAGCAAGAAAAGAGATACCATAATAGAGGGAGCCATTATAGGTTTCAAGAGAATTCTGGCACTAGGGAAATGTCCAGAGATCTACAAGGATAACCCCAACTAACAATCTAAGCAATAGTGGAGAGACTACCTTAAATGCCTTTCTCCAATAATGAGATTGATGACTACCTTATATACCATCTTAGAGCCTTCATCCAGTAGCTGATGGAAGCAGAAGCAGACACAGCTAAACACTGAGCTGAACTTGGGAATCCAGTTGCAGAGAGGGAGGAGTGATGAGCAAAGGGGTCAAGACCAGGATGGAGAAACCCACAGAAACAGCTAACCTGAACAAAGGGAAGGTCATGGTCCCCAGACTGATAGCTGGGAAACCAGCATGGAACTGATCCAGACCCCTGAAATGAGGATGCCAGTCTGGAGGTCTGGGCAATCTATGGGGCCTCTGTAGTGGGTCAATATTTATCTTTAGTACATGAATGGACTTTGGGAGTCCACTCTACATAGAGGGATACTCTCTCAGCCTAGACACACAGGGGAGGGCCTAGGCCCTGCTCCAAATGATATGACAGACTTTGAAGATTCCCCCATGGAAGGCCTTACCCTCCCTGGGGAGCAAAAAGAGGCTGGGATAGGGGATGGGGGGAGCAGAGGAGGGGAGGGAGAGGGAACTGGAATTGACGTGTAAAAGAAGCTTGTTTCTAATTTAAAATTGGTCTAATTACAATTATAAAAAATAAAAATAAATTTAAAAAGAATCAAAAATTATGTTAAAAATGAAAAATAAAGAAAAACTATTTGCAAACAGAATACAGGTGTAAAAAAAGAAAACTTATGGCTGAAAAACCTGCTTGCTAGGATTCAAACATGCTTGTATTGTTTCAGTTTTGCATGGATAAAATGACAACATAGACATGCTTGATAACTGATAAAACAGTGAGCAGAGGATTAAAAATCCTAACCTGTGTGATGTACATGTCAGAATTTAAAGTGTGGAGGAAAGACTGTTTTTGTTAGAGATAACAGGTGAGTTGTTCCAGGCTCTTCAGAAGACATATCAGAAGATACTTCGGGAAAAAGAGGGTGCATTGGAAGCAAAATACCAAGCCATGGAGAGAGCAGTTACGTTTGAACACGACAGAGACAGAGTTAAAAGGCAATTCAAGGTAAATTCCTTCTATTTCTACCCCCGCTCCAAGTGTCACAGATTAAAAACTACTTTTAAAAGGATCATTTGAGCCCAGTATTGGTGGTACATGCCTTTAATTTCAGCACTCAGGAAGCAGAGGAAGGTGAATCTCTGTGAGCTCGAGGCCAGCCTGGTTTACAGAGCAAGTTCCAGGACAGACTCCAAAGCCACAGAGAAACCCTGTCTTGAAAAACACAACAGCAACAAAAAGTTTATTTGAGCCAGGTGTGGCGTCCTGTGCCTTTAATCACAGTATTCAGGAGGCAGCGACAGACAGATATCTGTGAGCTCAAGGCCAGCCTCGTCTACATAAGATCTTGTCTTGAAAAACATAACAGAAAAAAAGTTCATCAGAAATCATGATGAATTAAGTAGCATGAAGGTCATGTGAGCTAGAGAAAGAAGTATTTCATGTTTTCAGTTAGGTATTGTTTATTTGACAAATGTGAAAGTGAACATTCTAGTGAGATATTGAAGGATGAAAGATGTTTTTAATTTTTATTTATTTATGTGTGTGTGTGTGTGTGTGTGTGTAGGCACACACGAATAAAGTGCCTGTGGAGGTTAGAGTTGTATGATCCCTTGGAGCTGGAGTCACAGGTCACTGTGAGCTGCCCAACATGAATGCTAGGAATGAATTTCAGGTGTTCTGCAAGAGCAGTAAGTACTCTTAGCCACTGTACCATCTCTCCAACCTCCAAGAGTGAGATGAAGTGTCTGGGAATGTTTGGGGATATTCCATTCTGTGTTTGGTATGAGGGAAACAATTTGTTACATGTCAGGCAAGACACACACCCATGCTGCTAGATTTCCAATGGGTTCAACTGTGCAACAATAAGATAAAGGTCCGGCTGGAGACGCCATCTCAAAGGCGTCTGAGATTCAAATGAATATTGACTTTATGAATAAATGATTTTCCCCCTGGAAAGTTAGTGGCACAACACTGTGATTATGAAAAAAAGTCTCAACATTAAATTCTACATTTTCACAGATTTTTAGGGAGACCAAAGAAAATGAAATTCAGGACTTACTGAGGGCCAAGCGAGAGCTGGAGAGCAAACTTCAGAGGCTGCAGGCTCAGGGTATCCAAGTTTTTGACCCTGGGGAGTCTGACTCGGATGACAACTGCACGGATGTCACAGGTGAACGCACTTCATGCTCATGTTCCCCTTTCTGCAGAGCTGTAGTGATGCTCAGAACCAACTGCTGGGTCCCTTTTACCGTCCGAAAGCAGGGTCAGAGCTTGCACTGCTCTTACAAGTAGAAGAGACCTTCCAGTGCCTCTCTTGGCTCTTAGGATCTCC